TACATTTCATTCAGCACACACACTCGTCCCCCTCTCACACACACACATCCTGCCTGAGCTGCCCCGCCTGGCTGACATGCTGTTTCAGACAAGACGCACAAAAGAAGACGGAACTGGACTGAAAAGACAAACATCTCCTACATTTCCTACATCACACACACCGAGGAAACCAAACAAGAGCTAAATGATTTTAGAGGAGCAGGACTTCAGCTGAACATGTGGCTCTGAGGGATTCTGGAGAACCTCATGGCTCTTTTACATCTCCAGTTTACCACATGAGGAGTTCCTATGGTTGTCCTGAATGAAACCACTCAGTGTGACAGAGAGGAGCTGCCATGTTGGACCAAAGCTCTGTTTGCATCCGAATGTCTCTGAGGTGCACAGGCTTGTTGTCGGGTTTGTGAAAATGTGCAGACTCAAAACAAGAAGCTTCAAAAATTAACTAGTTATTAAAATGAAGGCAAAACAAAAAGCTGTCATGGCAGCAAAATTAAACTAACAAGAAACTCTGATCAACAAAGTCCATGCTCAATAATCCAGGTATAAATTCCAACATTTTTCAGTCAGGTCATCTGGACAGATTCTTTTTTTGTGCTAAAACGTTTTGCCTTCAATCCGGAAGGCTTCATCAGTCAAGAAAACACACAACACAAAACTGATTCTTCCTCCAACAGCTTACTCCAAAGTGGAACAAACCAGTTCTGCTTGTGATTAGATGGTCTCTTTGGTACGCCCCTCCTCCACTGCCAGCCCTCTTCCTTGTTGACAGTCTTGTCAAACTGGTTGAAAACAACAAAGTCCATGCTCAATAATCCAGGTATAAAATCCAACATTTTTCAGTCAGGTCCTTATTGAATCGTGATGAAGTGTTGGACCAGGTGAACTGACTGGAGACTGGGAACAGATGAGAGCAGCAGGCTGGCTAACACTGGGGAAGCTGAACTAAACATCAGAAAGGAAACAAAACACTAGAAAACAACAAATATACCAAATAAAATTAAAAGATTAAAACAAAAGACAGATCTTGACAGCAGTGATGTAGCTTGAAGGTTTGGAAAATGTAAAAACAGTTTGCGTAGCAACTTTCTTGATAAAGGGCTGGACGATATAGCCAAAACTTTTATCACGATATATTTCTTAATTTCGGTCAATAACGATATAATTCGATATCCATATAAACAATATAAAAGCCTCGGAAAAACTGTACAAACTGTACAAATAAATTAACGTTCACTTTTTATTTGAATTTAGCCTTCAAAAAAATTTGAAATCACAGTTAAACATAAAACTCTCCTCTTTGTCAATAATAGTTTTAACTTTAAACAACAACATAACCTCTTTAGATACAGCTGGGGGTGTTTCAGGGACACGTTGGCTCACACTTTTATTGTGCTTCATCTTCTGACTCAGCATATTCTATCGAGTGGAACAAGTTCGATGTGTTCCCACCTCTAGTTGGAACAACTCTCCGTCACATTTTGCAGCACACTGACTGAAACCTGCAGTTTGTCGGATCTTACATAGCCGAACCACTTCCACACCGCCGAATTAGTCTTTCCTCTCTTATCAATTATATCATCTGCTTGCTCTTTGCTTGTGAAAGCTTGTTCAGTCACATTCTGACGGTCATGGGCACTCCATTTTGAAGCGCAAACTTAACGCGCGTTGGAGATTAGCCTAGCCTAGCCTGCTACCGCTGACTCCTTCTGGACTCGAGCTCTGCGTAACATCTACGTCACCACGCACTTACGTAGTTGTGTCGCACCTTTTTCTGTCCGAGTTTAAATTAAAGCAGCCGCTTCAACCCGAACAGAAAAAGAAATGCGTCAGTGAAACGCTGTAATCCTATCGAAATATCGAAAATGTGCTTAAAACTCATATCACCATTATTGAATAAAAGTATATCGCGACATATATCGATTTTGAATTATTGTCCAGCCCTTAAATCTATTTATCCATGATATCTTGAATGACAATAAAAAACCTTGACTTGACAAAGTTCTGACTTTCTTTTCAGTAGATAATAGATTTTGATTCTGACTCTGCTGGAGCTCTCCTCTGGCAGAAACATCAGAGCATACAGCCCCGAAAGTCCAGGTCTGAAAACCACCGAGGACAAATTATAATGATCAAACATGTACCCAGAAATAATGAAGGGTGCCCAAAGGATCGGTGTTATTCTGTGACCAGAGAGCAGAAACGATGCTGACGTTTTAACGTCTGAACTGTGGGAGGCGAGTAAAGACAACTGAGGTGGTCGAGGTGGGCAACAATGTGCGCAGCCTACAAGACAGTTCTGCAAGCAGGGCACACAAAAATGGTCCATGCAAGAGGTAGCTGGTTGTAAGAACTCAAAATTCAGTGACTTCAATGGAAAAATCATGTATTTTCTCACAATTCTGAGTCTCCAGCTGGAGTCCAGCTGAAGAGAGAAGGAGATGGATGGTGCCACTCTCCCCTGACTTCCTGTGGCGAGCCAGTCATTTGACACAAAGGCAGAGGGGAGGACTGATTTCCTCCTCTAAATCCTTCAGAAACACGAGTTATTACAACACGAGGAGGAGAAGCACAACAACAGTCTGAAAGCAGAGGAGGACAAAGAATAAGCAAGATAAATAGAACCCTTCTAATCCCAAACGTATCCCTGACTGGGTGGAACGACAGCGTTTCACGCCCACGCTCCTCAGGACACACCTGCCCTGATTCAGCTGACTCAGCCAGGTGTGTCAGAGCTGCAGGCTGGAGCGGCGGCGTGCTGAGGCAGCAACATCGGCCCACTTTCTCACAAGACAGAACGAGTTGACTCACTAAATCTCTGTCCTTTAGCTGGTTTGGATCCTGTTTTTTTCCTTTCATGTTCAGCTGCAGCTGCTGCTAAAAACAGTGAGGGGAACTCCGTCCACCACAGAACTTTCATCCAGAATCACACGGGGCGAGTCCCGCTCCCCCTCCTAACTAATCATTCAGATGATTCAAACCACAAACCAGACCCCCTCGGGTGAGAAACCCATCGACACACAGGACTTTGTTCCCGGCCGTGATGCTGGGAGTTCATGTTTCATCCACATACGTGTTCCTGGAGGGATCAGTCGTGCCCGAACGTGCGAACGCAGGCAGATCCACTGCAAACATGAAAACAGACAAAGTGCTCGTTAACCAGTTCCTGCTGCTGACACAATCACAAAGCTGAGCAACACGAATCCACCGGGCCTTTCAGGGAAACACTCGCATGTTTAATGGTCCGTCCGAAAAAAAGTTCAAGAGTGATCGGCCTCAGAGTTTAATGAAACTATTCCTGAACTGTTGCTCTTCTCAGAAAACACTTATCCAAGTCATTTCCACACAAATGAAAGAGACGTTCATGTTCCTGCTGTGGAAACTGGAAACATCTGTTTGGTTTTACAGATCTTTAAAGGTCCGTCCTTTTAGATCCTGTCATTCAGAGGCTTTTGGAGCAAAACCTGTTTCTTGCTTGTGCCAAAAAAAAAAAACAACGTGTGGACTTTGTTCATACACCTACACTACAGCTCTGAACACTATCACCCATCGTCAAAAGGCGGGTAATGTTTCTGTGCACGTCTGTTAGCAAAATATCTCATGACCAAAACTCTCAGAGAGAATCCAAGAGATTATCTGTAACTGGAGTCAACTTCATTCAAGATGGCCGCCACATCTAATCAACCTTAGAAAATAAAAGTGGTTTGATCTGAATCAGTTTTCCAGATGTTGAGAGGAAATTTGGTGTGAAGTAGCTGAGTCATGCCCAACACATCCTCTGAGGGCTGACGGATCACATGACATCGTGTGATGAGCTCATGATGAACAGATTTGACCAAAACAACTTTAACTCTGTCGTTTCCCAACTTAAGATCATCTTTGTTTAAAGCTCTGATATGGAAGGTGGTGGGCGATATGCATTCGATCTTTATTTAGACGATCCCACTGAGCCTCGAGGACTCATTTACAAGAGAGACCAGTTTTCAAACGAAAAACTAAAAGTCAGAGAGACTCAGGAGGCCAACTGTTGCTGCCTGAAGCACAAACATGAAACACTGAATTTATCGCTCTAAATAGTACTAAAAATTAGTTTTAAACTTAACCTAATTTTGCACACCCACCCCATGTAGGGCTTTATGACCTCAACAGGGGCCCTGATCTTAATTATGGGAACTGGTGCCTTTAATGAATGCTAGGCCAATAAAATGAGTCCATGATGTTCATAGTGTTCTCAGGAAAATTAACTAATCTGCCATTTATAATAAGAACAACGGACCTTTGGGGGTCAGGTTGGATTTTAATGAATGAAACCGAGTTCGTCCGTCTTTACTGTGTGAATACTGCGACAGACTGACTTAAACTAACTTTTAACCAACTTTACATTAAAATGTGCTTCTGCTACTTTTAGCTTTTAGTGTTCTTTTTTTGTTGTTGTTTAGCCTTTTTTCTACTTTAGCTAGTGTTTTGCTAGAAGTTTTAGCTGTCCTGCATCTTTTATTTTTACTGTCTCGATTTCAGCTCCAGCAGATTTCAGCAGATTTTGGCAGATTCCAGCTCTCAACATTCACTGTAGTCTACAGAAAACATAATTTCTTCAGCTTATCTAGTTTTCTTATTTTACCAGAGGAAATGTTCACTCCAGTTGATGTAATAAACCTGTTATGAGTGTGTATATTTTGAAGTTTGTCTCTCACAGATTTCCATCCAGCCTCGCCTCACAGAACCTGTTGTTTTAGCTGCTGGGCTCCA